ACCCCTCACAACAATTAGAAATCAGATCCCTAGTTCAGTGGTGAACTAGGGATCATCCACCCTCAGTGGTGACCAGTGACAGGACAAGGGGTAATGGGTGCAAGCTGCACCACGGGCAGCTCCATCTCCATGTTGAGGAGGAACTTCTGCACTGTGAGGGTGCCAGAGCCCTGGCACAGGCTGCCCAGGGAGGCTGGGGAGGCTCTTCCTTTGGAGGTCTTCAGAACCCACCTGGATGCCACCCTGTGCTCTGGGTGTCCCTGCTTGAGCAGGATGGTTGGACTTGATGATCTCTAGAGGTCCCTTCCAACCTCAACCATTCTGGGATTCAGTGACCCACCATAAAGAGGACAATCCAAAACATCTGGTCAAGGTAACACTTTCTACAAAGCAGAATGAACTAGAGGTTATGATCATTACGAACAAATAGATGATTAATAATTGCTACTTCAGTTAATAATTACCCGATCATCTCAGACTCTGGGCTGGCTCTTTCCTTGCCATAAATAGCATCTAAATGAGCAGGGAGCTCTCTCTCTCTCCTGCTAGCAGCCATCCCCAGCCTGCATTACAGCATYCACAATGGCATTCAATGGGACCTGGCAGGTCTACGCTCAAGAGAACTACGAAGAGTTCCTGAAAGCCATCGGTAAGTGCCTTAGTTCTTCGGAAACACCTTGCTGGGTTGCTAACATTGCACCCTGGTCAATAATGTCTTTTATTACAGTGGTTCAAAGTTTCTTTTTTTTTTGTTTGTGTGACAAACGAGCCCTATCAGGCAAGTTTAAGTCTATTTCAGAAAGGGAAAGAAGCTGGAAATTGCACAAATCGATGTAGAAAGGTTACAGATAAACGCAAGGTTTCTGTTTCACTTAAGATTGACTCCCTCATCATAAAAGAGGACGTGCATCATAAATTGACCTGTTTTGGCTGGCCTCTGATTTTCTTAGTACTTTTAACCAGAAGCAAGTTGTGAACAACATATAAAACCTCCCAAGCTCTGTAAGCAGTGCGGGCACTTTCTRTAGCACTAGTGACTAAATACATGCAATAGCTGTTTAGTAATCTCCAAGAAATTAATTTGGTGGTTATGACTTCGTGAGTGACTCAATTAATAAATGTGTCTGAACCAAAACCTTTAATGCTAATGATGATCCTTCCAGATTACACTAGAGACACACAGATGAGGGACCTGGAGGTCACTCACACGGCTGCAGCTTTCACTGCACAGATAACCCCATCTTCTCTCCGCCTGGAAGGCACATCTTGCTCTTGCATCATTGCCAGAGAAGAATATTTAGGATTTCATATCCAAAAACTACTTCAGAAATGTTATTTTTTGCTCTTTCTACAGCACTGCCAGCCGACCTCATCAAAATTGCAAAAGATATTAAGCCTACTATTGAAATACAACAAAAAGGAGATGACTTTGTTGTGACATCGAAAACACCCAAGCAATCTGTAACAAACTCGTTTACACTTGGAAAAGAGGCTGACATTACTACTATGGATGGCAGAAAGCTAAAGGTAACATATGCCAGCAATAGGTGCATTTCTAGTCATCCTTATACTCCAGTTTTGGTGTGCAAATGAAATGTATTGTACCGTTTCCATTAGCAAAAAAATGGTGTGTACACATTCATTTGTATCATTTCAACTGGCAGAGATGTTTGGCTAAAACCTTTAYGAAAATGTTGTGGTCTTCTGTTTAAATTAGCAAACGTGATTCTGAAGTTTCCATATCACTTGCATTTCTTTTACATTTGACTATGCAGTCACCTATTTATTTCAGCTGAATTTCTGATTCTCCACTTTTCAAAATATCTTTTTAAATCTGCTTCAACAGTGTACTGTGAACATGGTAAATGGAAAACTTGTGTGCAAATCAGACACCTTCTCTCACGAGCAGGAAGTTAAAGGAAATGAAATGGTAGAGGTAAGTATTTGGAAAACAGTGGTGCATTAAGAAAAATACTGAAAGAAGTTAGTTCTGAAGTTGTTCCTTACTGACAAAGAGCTTTTGTCTAGGGAGTTAACCTCACTGAACTCCTAAAATGTGTCCACTTGGGTAAAAATTAATATATGAAGTATAGCTAACTATATTATAGTTATGTATCTTGGACAATTTCTTTAGTTCAAAGTATTTTCTAACATCAAGTAGGCAAAACACTGCACAAAAGACCCCATTACTGCTTGGGACATACTCTTCTGGTCTGTAAAAGACCATTTGCTCAGTATGAAGATTACAGACATATTTATAGGCAAGTACTGCAATTGCATTTTCTTGTAGAATAAGATGGATTTTTAAATGAATTACAGAAACATCTACTCACTTAGCTATAAATAGACCTCCTAAAGTCTAAAGGAAAAACAAGTTGTGCATATTTATCATCTGCAGCGTATGACTGTTGGTGGAGCAACACTTGTCAGAAGAAGCAAGAAGGTCTGAAGCCAAATCCACTTTCTTGGAGACATTTTTTACATACCTAAAATAAAGTGCACTTTCCAGCGGTGTGATCTTCGTTACATGAAAGAATAGCAGAGAAAGTCATTATTATTTCTACTYTCCTTTTACATACAAATCCCTTTCCATTATAAGACCATGCTTTCCCTGATTACCCTTCCAGATCTCTTTCACACTCAGAGCATGGAAGATCTGCCTCCACATCAATCAAACCTGCACATACCTGAACAAAATATGACTCGCCATAATAACCAATGGGAGGAGACAGAATCTGATACATTTCTTGTCTCATAAATATGTTTATGAAACATATATGTTTCATAATATATCTCATATATTACTATAATATATAAATATCTCAAGGGAGGGAGTGAGGATGGAACCAGCCTCTTTTCAATGGTGGCCACTTGGTAGAACCAGAGGAAATGGCCACAAACTGCAACGAAAGTTAAGGAAACTTAAGGAAATTTTCTTAAGGAAACTTAAGGAAAAAATTCTTGACAGTGAGGGTGCCAGAGCCCTGGCATAGGCTGCCCAGGGAGGTTGTGSAGTCTCCTTCTCTGGAGATCTTCAAAACCCGCTTGGATGCCACCCTGCGCCCCRTGCTCTGGGTGACCCTGCGTGTGCAGAAGGTTGGACTAGATGATCCCTAGAGGTCCCTTCCAGCCTTAAGGATTCTAATGAACCTATGATAACACACTTAGTGAACCCAGTCAGCTCTTATCCCTTGTTCTAATGTTTGCTGTCCTACTAAAACCCCATCACTATGTCCTGTCCATGACACTGCCTAGTCTAGACTTACCTATGCTGGGAGAAGAGTGGTTTGTGAGGCCTTTTCTGGTGTGTTCTAGCTAATACCATTTACAATATGCTCTAAGCACAATCAAGGAAGCATATTGCTATTCTGTGCTAAGAAGGACCTCAGGGGAAGTTTTGCTGGCATAATTAAGCAAGTATTGTTATGTTCTTTAGCTTCCCATGTAGTTCTACTTTTAAGTATCCTTCTGCAGACTTTAAATTCGGAATTCAGATCATCAGCACACAATCAAGACAGCGGTCAGGCCTCAGAAAGAAGGCTGTTCTAGGGTTTCAGCAAATGGAGCCATTTAAGAGCTTGGACTGTTTCAAAGTTGCTGGGTAACTGCTGCTAACCACAGTGAAACACTGCAAAACACAACAGTTTTCTAACAGTAAATTCACATATTCCTGCAAGCCAACAACCAGGGGGCATTAAAGGCAATATTCAGTGCTGCTTTTACTCCAAGACATGAAACCTTAAATAATTTTGAGGAGACTKGGGACCGTATCTCTCTGCTCTAGGTAATGAGTTCTTTCTGGATGACAAACATTACGGCTTTACACAGTAATACCGGATCCCTTCTTTTGCAAAATCAAGTGATTTTTCTCTGCAAAGGGCTTCAGGTTATTTGCAATCTGTAATCAGGAACATTTCTGTCTTGTTCAAAACTGTTCATTTCCAATTCTAAGGGCTCTGGAGGGGGAATCCTGGCAGCAAACATGTCTATGCACTGCCAAACTCCATTCCTTGGTGATTGCACTGCTTTTCAGAATGGCAGAGGACYGAGTATTTTCTGCTTTGGTATATCTGCATTGGACCGTGTGCTCCACCGTAATTCAGTCTTGGACTTTCTTTCCTTGGCTCGACTCTCAGGTTCTTTCAACAACACTCATGCGTGTACAGAATCTGACTGGGTAGGTGTTCCCAAGTTAAAAGTACCTGCTGCTAGCAGATTTGGAGCAAAACAGTATTAAATGGGAATATCAAATGCATAAACATTGTCAGCAACTCCTCTTTCTTTTCCACGGGGGCCYGTACAGAAAGCGCTAAGCACACAGGACTGTTTTCTTCTATCCCTAAAAGTGCAATACAGAGTTGGCTCTTCTATCTGCTGTGTTTGTGATTCAAACTCCTTTTRTACAAAACGTGGAGAAACATCCGTCAGTTCAGGGTGTGATACTGCCAGCACAGCACTATGCCCGTGCAGTCTGACCAAGTACAGAGCTACCACTACAGAGCTACCATTTCTCGCCTCTTTCACCCCRGCACATGCCCTTATGCACAACAAAAGCATTAGCTCCTCCGGCTGCCTGTCCTTCTGTTAACATAAATGGCTCTAGCAAGAAGGAGCTTGGTCCCAGGCACTGATGGACAGCGCGGGGGTGCGGGGAGGTGCTTCGGGCAGCAGGCCGGGCGCGCGGCCTTTCCCCACAGGGCAGCGGCCCGCCCTCCATGTTGCCAACGGCCGCCAACGGCCGCCGCGTTTGGGCGGGAAACGCGAGCCGGCGGCGGGGGCGCGCGCAGGTGCACGCGCGGGGCAGCGCGCATGCGCACACGGGCCGCGCCTCCCGCCGGAGGAGGGCGGGGGGGGGAAGGCGCATGCGCAGCCCGGGCAGGCTCCGTTTTGGCGCGGGCTGCGCCGCCTCCCCCCTCCTCGCCCCCGCTGCGCTTCCCTCCTCCGGCGGCGCTCTCGCCGGAAGCCCCGCGGGAAGTCTCGCGAGAGGCGGCGGCGGCGGTCGCGGTGGCGCTGCGTGCTGCTCCGGAGGGTCCCTCAGCCGCTCGGCTCCGCGCAGCGCCCGCGCCGCCCCCGCCCGCCGCCGCCGCCATGTCCCGCTACCTGCGGCCCCCCAACACGTCGCTCTTCGTGCGCAACGTGGCCGACGACACGCGGTGAGCGCGGGCGGGCGGGCGCGGGGGCTGCGCAGGCTTTGGCGGGCTCGCTAGGCCGCGGCGGGCCGGGGGCGGCGGGGAGGCCTCGCGCCGCGCGGCCCCTTCCCTGCCCCCGCCTCGCCCTCCGCCATTGTCCCTTCGCTCCCCGAGCGCATCCAGGGAGAACAAAGCTGGGCYGGAGCAGCGCGGGAGCCCGCCCGGCCGCCTCGCGCTCCCGCAGCCGCACATGGAGGCGGGATTCGCCGGCCCTTGCGCCGCTTCGGTGCTCGGCGGCCGTTGGAATTTAAAATATGCGGTTGAAAAGGCGCCGATTGTTGCCCGGGCGGGAGGAAAGGGAGCGCGCGGGATGGCCAGCGGGGCCGGTCCCGTTAGCGGCGCTGGTAATTGCAGCCCGCCCGGGTGCGGTGTTGTTGGGCTAATTGTTGTGTGCGTGGCCTCCAAGAGGCTCTTAATGCGGAGGGAGGAAGGAAAACGCCTTTTCTCTATAATAATTGCGGCAAAATTAGGTAAGCCTGCAGCTTAGAGCAATACTTTTCACTATATATTTATTCCTAAAGAAGGATTAAGTGTATATGTTGCATGCATCAGTATTTGTTGTGTGGATGTTTTTGGTGAACTGCTAGATTTCTCCAATTCCCTTTTGCACTTGAGTATCTCCCTTTCATGTTTATTACCAGTTGTGAGAAGTTTATTGAGCGTGTGCATTAGGAAGGTAGCTGTGATTTGCAGCATCTTTATGTTGCTAAATATAGMATTTCCATTGAAGTTGCTCCAAGATTTGCTTGTATAAGCTCGAGTTTTGAAACTTGCTGGCTGGACAGCTTGCACCAAAGTTGTTCAGCAAATAACAATAACGTAGGCGCAATGGAATGAACCGGGAGCATTATTGTTGTCAAAGAAATTAATAGTTTTTTTTCTTTAATCGGCGTTCATTCCTCTTTTGGCAGTAAATTATTTTAGGGTCAGAACAGTAAAGGAGGAAGACTTTCAAACCTCTTAAAAACTGAGGTTCTTATTCAAGCTTTCATTGTAAGCTTGTGTTTAAATGATGTTTTTAGAGATAGCTTCATTGGGCAACACTTTGGTTGTTGGAACTGGCTTCTTCTGTATATAACGTATATAATATAATGTATATWATATAGTCTGCTGATTACATACAATATAGATTTTTATTTTTTTCCCAGCTTGTGAGGAAGAGAAATGAATAGCAGTAACACTTTCACGCCACATAATTATACATTCGCATGAGTGTCTCATACAAATTGTTGAGTTAACTTCTTTACATGTATTTTCTGTATATTTTAATGTAACTAAGCAACGTCTCTGCTGAAGGGAGAGGAGTTAGGTCAAGCTGTTCTCACGGTGCCACCTCCCTGGAGTAGCTATGGGCATGAATGGCTGCTCACTCTTTCCCACCCTTTGATACAGTGCAAGTGGTGCATGTTCAATGGAAATGCGTTTGTGTGACGGATTTATTCTTGCACCTTTTCTTTGCATGTTACAGATCATGTCTGCATGTTGCAAAATCGCTATTAAGAATTTTATGGGGTACTTGAAAAATTTCTTGGACCCTTCTCCCTTTCAGCCCACTTTGTTAGTACATTTTGCATTGAATTAGCTATTAAGTGTTATGCTTATAGAGTCATGCTAAAAAGTAGATTGAGAATACTGGGGTGTGTTTTGAGCATCTTGAGGTTCAGACTTTCAGAAAAGCCTGCTGTGTTCTTGGCAATAATCTGTTGGATCTTTCCCACCATCCCACAAGTATTTTACTACACTGATACTCTCCAGAATGCTCCAGAAAGATGGTTTGTCACATTATTTAATTGTAGACATATGTATTATTCTTATTTAGCTTAGCAGATGTTTCTAACATAGGGAGGAAACATATGTGTTTGTGATATTTTAGGTCTGAAGATTTGCGCCGTGAGTTTGGTCGTTATGGGCCTATAGTTGATGTATACGTTCCACTTGACTTCTACACTCGTCGTCCYAGAGGATTTGCATATGTTCAATATCCTTTCTTCAGATGGCTGATTAGTGAGGGGTGTTGAAGTTTGAAATTCAAGTTTGTGTAAGAGGTAACAAATCTAAATGAAAAAGCAGTTTAATTTTGTGTTGTATCTAATAAGTGTCTTTCTTRTGTTGTAGACTTTCATTATATTTGAAGATTAACTCCTCTCAGTTGTTCTTTGCCTTTCCGCAAAGCTTAAATCAAGTCCAGTAATATAAAAGCTTGCTTATGTGACTGAAATTGATACTATTTAATTTAAATGAAAAAATKGTCACTGACTCAAAATTTTCTACCATGTTTTTATTATAACTGGTATGTAAGTAAATTGTGCTTAGCAAATTKTGGCTAGTATTCATTGTTAATTTAAAAAAATAAAATAAAAAATGGGAACTGGAATCACTTGATCAAAAGCAGATTGTATAAAAATGAGGTGAAGTTCTTTCTTTAATATTGTCCCCTAATTTACTGTCCTCTGTTGTTGCCTCAGAATGTAAAGCTGTACAGTAATGGCGACCCCAAAGAGAAAGCATGAAAGAACCTTTAGAGTAGAGTTCAACAATTAAGGCAAGTAGACAAGCCAAAGACCTCTTAAGGATCAGGCTTGAAGAGAAGGGAGAGTTTGGGAAAAGAAAAAATAAAGAAAAGCTGGAAGAAGGACAAGCCATAATGGGAGACAAAGCTTCGCTTTATCTACAAAAGGGGGAAAAGGTTGTTTTTCAAAGTAAAAGATAAAGCCATCTGTCATTTTTGGCCAAGCATCTCATGACAAGTCCTTCTGACAAGCACTTAAAGAGTTAAAGGTCAAGATGAAGTTGAATGGTGGCCAAGATTAAAGGAGTCATACCTGATGTATCCTACAGAAAAACAGTTCTTCTTCTGTTTGTCATGTAAGCAGTAACTTGGTGAATGATTCTGGTTTAGTCCATTGACAAAACCTGTCATATTTCTCTTGTGGGTGCTATTGTAATTGTGATCTTGAATTAAAATGCATTCGTTCTTGGTTTCTCAAGGTAAATATACCTACAACATGGTAGTTTATTTTCTGCATAGATGATGCTGGTGATGGACTGAGTTGCTCTAAGAAAGGCAATTTGTTCTTTCAAGTTCCACACRTGGAACAATGTGTGGGAATCACAGTAGTGGTCCATCATGGGCATTAAAATTGGCAAAGACTGTGCTCCTAACATCTGACTGATAGCATAGTATTTTTAGTGTATGGTTTTATCACAGAAAGACTGTTAACAGTCTATATATGTGTCCTTGGCATCCTATAATTTAAATATTTAAAATGAGCTGCTGAAAAAGAAAAGCTTTATCCCAGTTTAAAAATTAATAGAAATATACAGTTTTTCCTGTTGGCATGCCTTAAGTATTTTAAGAACTATGATTTCTTTTTCTTGTAGTGTGAACATAGTGCAGAGAACTGRATCACCATTAATAATTAACTTATTTGGAAAATATGCATTTCTTATTTAAGTACAAGTGGGGGAAGAAGAAACTTGGGTGCTGCATAGCAGTTGCTTGGTTGTGGATAAGTTCATGGACTTAGCATTAGATTTGAATTTTACCACATTACGGGAATTCTCAGATAGTTGGGAGCAATAAAAGTTGCTCGTGTTTCCTGTAGCATGCCCAAAACCAAACCAAAAAAAGAAAGTAAAATCAGAAAATAACTGACTTAAAATAACAAATTTGTTAATTGCTCAAATTCCCAAGTACCTTAACACTCACCACATTTGAAGATGTCCGYGATGCTGAAGATGCTCTCCATAATTTGGACCGAAAGTGGATTTGTGGTCGGCAAATAGAAATCCAGTTTGCACAGGGGGATCGGAAGAGTAAGTGCTTGCATGGACTTCACTAGATTATGATTTTAGCCTTAATATTTAGAGCTAGGTATCATTACAGCAGTTATAAATTATGTGCTTATTTCTTTCTTGTACCTGAAYAGCACATAGATATTTTGCTTTTTATCCAATAGCTATTAATGTTTCTTGTTGTAATTAGATAACTGGGTACAGTGGTTGCTTGCCACAGTGTATTAACTGAAAATATTATTTAAGAGCTTTCTGTTTTATCAAGCTTTCTTGCAGGAACAGACTGATGAAAATTCTCCCTGTCAAAGTGTGTAGCTCACTCAGTTTAATATATTGCAATGCTTGTTATGTCGCCGTGTGTTAGTGGTTCTGTGTGCTATGCCAGTCTGCTTTCCAGGACTGAGGTAACATCTTCAGCTTCATTTTCATATAGCTTGAGATGAAAATAAATTTTAGAATATCTCTGTCCATTCTGGAACAGAATTTCTGTTTTTGATCAGATTAATTGTAAAGAGGTAATTTCTTACATATTAGCAGCATGAGCAGGAAAGTTGCTTCAGGTGCGAACCGAACAGGTGTGTTGGGCTAGAACGATGCAGTTTGTTCAGTCCTGTACTCTAGCAAGTGACTGGCTACAGATATGCTAAGTTGCAAAAAAAGCTGCTTTTCATTAAATATGCATAGGCAACACGAGTGCTCAAAGATTTTTCAGTTAAAGTTGTCAAAGAAACAAGCTGAGTGGTTTTTCCTCAAAAGTGCACGTTCAGTTTTTCTGAAGTCAATGGAAATCACATGCTGTGAAGGGCAAACTTCTGCCCCATATGTGTAAACATTGGAGTTGCTGTTACGTTTCTGAACAGAGGCTCATAAGGACAACTCAATGATGTCAACAGCAGTGCTTAGCACTTAAAATTGTAGCCACCAGCTACGATAGATTCACTTGATAAGGCAAAACAGGTTTAAAAAACATTGAGATGCCATCCTTGGGCTTGAATTAGGATTAGATTCAAGAAAATGGAAAGAAAGTTGTGCTGCTTTGAGACTTTATAACAGAAGGCATCTATATTCATTTCCACTAATTATTTTAAATAATTAAACCACAAAGTGAATGTGTATTGCTGTACTTTGGGGCCATGACCTTYGCTTTTTCATTTTCTTTTAGAATCTGACTCTCTTTTTGTGGAATCGGTTTCATTACTTCTCTGTAAACTTGCCGTATAGGCAGAAGGGATTGTAGGGAGAAGACAATCTTCTAATCATTAGAGARGACAATAGATCGAGTGCAGTGAGTGATACTGCACAGTCAAGAAAATGGGAGTTTGTTTAATTCCCAGTTAGCTGCCTCTTTTTAGGTGAATGAAGACATTTTCAATAATGTTGGCAGGAATGAGTTGCTAACCTGGCCAGTCACACCAGATGAGAGCTTCGAGGTGGGCTGACATCACCACAGCCAGTTTTTTTTCTGCAATAACAATTCTGACAGGACTGCATCAAGTTTTGTCTGCTGGCTAAACCAGCAAAGCCTCAGTGACATTCAGCAGCCTTTTGTCTTTTTCTGTCTTTTCATTATTTTAGGAAAGATGTTTATGAAATTAAGCTTTCTGATGAATATGTAAATAGCATTAGTAATGTTGCAAATGGAAAATGGGGACTTTGTATGTATGTTGTTGTTGTTTTGAACTTAAAATGTTAAAAAACTGCTCTTTTTCTACAGCACCAAATCAAATGAAAGCCAAGGAAGGGAGAAACCTATACAGTTCTTCACGTTACGATGACTATGACAGATACAGGCGGTCTAGAAGTCGGAGCTATGAAAGGAGACGGTCTAGAAGTCGTTCTTTTGATTACAGCTATAGGAGATCGTATAGCCCTAGAAAGTAAGTGTAGTGTGTTTGGCTTTGACTGCACAGCGGTCCGTCGGAAAAGAAACACCATTGACAATTTAGTTCTTAACATTTTGCTTGTTCTTCTAAACTTACGTTGTACAGTCATTTGTGGGAGTTGGGTTGCTTGCATGCTTCATCGAAACAAATATTGATTGATTCTCTGCTTCATTGGCAAATAACTAAAAGCAAATGCACATCTCTAATGTATTAATCATATGTATAAATACATAGATATTTGTCACTGTTTACTTTTTCTGATATACCTTTTTAGCAGTAGACCTGCTGGAAGACCTCGGCGTAGCAGAAGCCATTCGGACAATGATAGGTAAAATACTTTTTACATGATTTAAATTTAAACTAGTTCACTGTGTTCCTTTAACTGTAGGCTTAAAGTTTCTCCTGGTAAACAATTTTTAATGTACTAGATGTCTAAGAATAGTGTTTTTACATTCAAATCTCCTCTCTCCCCTTTATTCTGATAGGTTCAAACACCGCAATCGATCTTTTTCAAGATCTAAGTCCAATTCAAGATCACGATCCAAGTCACAGCCCAAGAAAGAAATGAAGGCTAAATCACGGTCTAGGTCTGCATCTCACACCAAATCTAGAGGCACCTCTAAAACAGATTCTAAAACACACTATAAGTCCAGCTCAAGATATGAAAAGGAATCGAGAAAAAAAGAACCAGCTAGATCCAAATCACAGTCAAGATCACATTCTAGATCTAGGTCAAAATCCAGATCAAGGTCATGGACTAGTCCCAAGTCCAGTGGCCACTAACAGTGTATCCATGTTGTTTTTAGGCATGTAACATTCATTTACACACAGTTCAGTTTACTTAAATTATCAGGAATATGATGTTGCAACAGTGCTTAAAAAAAAAAACAACAACAAAAAGAATTGTCAGTTTTCCCTGTAGCCGACAATGGTTATAATTAAAACAGTGTCGAGAAGCCACTGAGAGAGAGAGAGAGAGAGAATGTCCACTTGGTTAAATGTCATGGGCAGCTACTGATTTGATTGTGGTGTCTCTATGTATATTTTTGTAAAGACTTGCATTTTCAATGCTTCAATATTGGTGATGACTTGATTGATCGTAACTTGCAACATTGTCCTATTGAAAAAATGTCATGCCCGCACAGCGACTGGTACTGGCTCGTGCCGAACGGTTAAACCAACCGTTCAGCTTGTTCTTTAATACTAAACGTGGTAGTAAAATGGAAATGTGGGAGCCGTGGTGCCGGCTGCGCGCCGGGCGTTGCGGGTGTCGCGAGGCAGGTTCCTGGCTGCCGCAGGGAGCTCTGCACAGCGCTGCCGGTTCTCTTTACGCTGCCGGCTGCAGAGGCGATGCTCGCGTGTAGCCTCCCCGGGAGAGGGGTAGTCCTGAAGCTTGTTCAGGGAGCAGGCAGGGACACACCACGTCAGGATGGAGGCTTCGTGGCTCTTGACCTGGCTGCTAATGCTAAACGTTGGTGCGAGGAGGGGAGACCCCTTGCAATGGAAAATTAAGTTCAGATTTCAGCAGAAGAGCGACTGCGTATTAGGTTGTGCGTACATTTTATGCAGTTTTTGTATCTATTCTAAATTTTAGTGAGCAGTTAACCATAAAATTGCTTAGTTTTCCTGCTGTTAGCTACAAGTAGATTGTTTCGAGTTGTGTGTGTACAGTATRTAAGAACTAAACTTTTATGCCAATGACTCCTGTGGTTAGTTGGTGTATTCATAGGTATAAACCTGCAGCCATCTCTCTTCTCGAGTACAAAGGCTTGCTGCTCCCATCCAGAAGTACTTAGCCGAGCAAGGCTGAATCACTTTGTCCTCAAAATGGATAGTGGTTTGGGGCAAGATTTCATTTTACTTGAACAAAGGTTTCAAGTTGGATATGAATAAGAGCTGCATCTCTAGCTATTTAGTTTATCACTAATACAGTATAATTAGTAAAATGAATGTGAAAAATAACAAAACCAGTGTGTAATCTTACAAGTATTTCTCTAGAAGGCAAGATAGATACTTTGTTATCAAAGCGGCTTTTGGCGTTGTTTTTTCTATTTCCCTTCAAAAGCCAGCATCACACTTAGTGGTCCTTGTCTGTGTAGTAGCATACAAGACCTTCGTTTAAAAACTTCCTTTTTAGAGAAATGTCTTAGGTTTTGGTTTTACTGTTTTCCGCAGGGCCTTTGAAGAACTGCAGATGGCTTTTAAATACTGGCGGTGGAACGTGCTTAGGGGGTTGATTCTAGAACCTTTGTATATTTGATAGTATTTCTAACTTTTTCTTTACTGTTTGCAGTTAATGTTCATGTTCTGCTATGCAATCATTTATATGCACGTTCCTTTAATTTTGTAGACTTTCCTGGATGTATAGTTTAAAAACCACAAAGTCTATTTAAAACTGTAGCAGTAGCGTGCAGCTCTAGCAGAGGAAAGTTGTGGGATTAAACTTTGTATTTCCTTTCTTATAGAGGCTTCTAAAAAGGTATTTTTATATGTTCTTTTTAACAAATATTGTGTACTACCTTTAAAACATCAATGTTTTGATCAAAATAACTAAAGACCCAGCTTATTTTCTGCTTGCTGTAAATTTAGCAAACATGCTGTAATAAAAAAAAAAAATGAAGGAAATACTGATCCACTGGAATTATTGTAGCTTTAGAATTTGACTCCAGAGAATTGCTAGGAGCAGAATTATGCATCCCTTGTGGAGTAAAATCTTTCCTATGGTATTTCAGTAAAGTCAGGAATCTGTTTATTGTTTGACATCGGAGTAAATATCACTTCCTATTTCTACGAGGGGTACTAGACAAAATAAGACTGACAAGCAAATGTTGTAACACCTTGAAATTTCTCTTCCATTGACTTTTGTTATTGCTGGGTGGACTTCCCTGTGGTTTTAACTTGGATATTGCTGGCTAGGTTACAAACTGCAGTTAAAGATTCATAGAGAGGCTAGTTTCTAGGTGCTAGATAGCTCCTCCTTATCCAGAGCTGCACCACCAGTGGTTCTTCAGCAGGCTGCGAACGGGCTTTGGTGCTCAGGAGTTTGAGCTGCCTCCTGGCACTAGTGCTTGTAGAGCTTGTTCTTTTTATGCCACTGAATGAGAGCAATTCTGAAGAGCACTTAAATACTTTGATAAATCCAGTCTTATCCTTTTTATGTTGAACTGTGATTGTCTGGTAGTTGATTTCCCTGAAAATGGTTTGTAACAAAGGGGAGGGGGGGGTGGAAAAAAGAACACTCCTGTTTTCCAACCTCTTTAAATGGCAGAGGTTCAAAGCCAGGTGCTGCACCTGACGGTCTCTGGGGAGGATGCGGATCCAGAGCTGGGGGGTGTTGTCAGCAGCCTGCCAAGCACTGCTGTGAATAATGGTCACCTTTTAGGCCAGCCAGAATTGGAGCTGGTTGGGTGGGGAGGAGGGAAGAGGACAGCGTGGCCAGGCTGAGATTCCAGCTTGTGCCTGCAGCCTAACAGTAACAGACCTTAACTATTTTGTCATCGTGTCCTTATATTGTGTGCCTCAACATTTATGTATAGCACAGTTTAAATTTTTTGTTTTGAAAATCCAATTCATTGCAAGTATAATGTAGTATCTGACAGTTCTGATGGTTCTTTCTTTCTCTCCCAGAGGTAGGACTAAACTTTGACTTGACTTGTGTATATGAACAAGCCAGAAAAGCCGAACACAAACCCACGATGTTTCAAGAGTGCATGAATAAAGATGTTGTCCTAGTTCTTGCTCCCATGGAAAAATTGTGAAGAAGCTGTTCTGTGGGCCTTTCAGTTGGGGACGAGTTAGCAGGTTGTGGCCAAAAGGGCAGGGAATGTTTGTGCATTCACGYGAGTCCAGCCACAGCCCATCTAGATAACATCTCCCTTCCTTGATGCAGGTGTCTCTTCCTGCTCTAAATAAGCAGTAGCCTGTCTTGTGCAAGCTACCCGCAGGTTATGCACAGCTGGAATGCAAGAACATACGCAGGCTACAAAAGATCATGTATAGGCATCTTTCTTTTGGAGTCTCAAGACTGGTGGGAATTACAATTTTTTTTTCCTCTGTGGTAAACTAGATTTTGTCATTCCTGCAAATTATGTAGAATTGAAGTAGTGTGTATAAACTCTGCTGAAACTAATGGCTGTGCTCCAAAGTATCTGCAGCGTAATGACTGATGTCAGCAGTAACAGAAGGCTCTATTGGAACTTCCTTTTTCACCAAAAGTCCATGCACCCAACTGATAATTTTAATTAAAAATCTTTAAATTTAGTGTTTCAGTAGCTGGGTGTTTAAATTAGGGACTATGATAGGCTGGTCTCTGAAAGCTAAATGTTATCCTTTCTATGTCTTTTAAAGATGTTTAAATGTATACTATAATGGCTTTATTCAAAGTGAAAGTTTTCAATTTCAATGTTATTTTGACCTCTGCTCCTAGAAAGAGCTTTTYCTTTTTCTCTAAATGTTTAGTCCGGGGTAGCAACTTGAAAACTGTTCAGAGAAGGGTAATTGGATTAAAAAATACATTTGCAGCACTGCTACATGATTTTTGGCAGGGATGTTGCAGATAACATTTTGAAGTACAAAAGAAGAGATTTACTCCTCTTCGGGACATAATCACCCATTAGTAATTGCTGGTTTTCTCCATTTATCTTGTAACTTGCTTAAGAAGTCTGTAGTCCATTGCTATAATACCTGTCTAAAGATACTCTTACTGATGAGACTATTATAGGAAGGGAAGACTATGTACCCTGTAGTGTGTTTGATCAAAAGATGCTAATGTTTTATTCATACACATCCTTTCTTCTTGAGTTTTGTGTTCCATCTGTGCAAATAACCCTGTGAATTGGGAATAAAATGTACAAGTTTTGACTATACCTTGAGAGCACCTTCTGACTTAATTAACACAGCTGGTCACCAAACACTGGACCACCCAAGGGAGCTGCTTCTTGGCGCAGAGCACTCGGGCCGAGGGCGCGATCAGTGGCGGGACTCTGCAAACTGCCCCTGCCCCTCTCCTCCACGGAGCTTGTTGGGCTTTCTGGGCAGAGCCGGCTCTCCCTTCACCCAGCGGTTGGGGTAACAGCATAGTCTTGTGCTGCACAGGTCACTTGGCAGCCTGCGAGAGGGGGCTGGAGAAGCAAGCTGCCCTGTTCATTTCTAGCCCGTGCCACATCCACAGCTCTCTGCAGCCTGTTGCTCCTTGTGCTTACAAGTGTCTTTAATTAAGCAGGCAGGGAGACAGGTTAATGACGTTAATGGGGCCATTAAGTACCTTAATCAGCCTTGTGGAGTGTCAGTGCTTTGCTCAAGGCTGGGCTAGCTGTGTGCCTTTAATGCCCGTGTGTAAGAAACCCTGGAGGCTGAGATCAAGGAGGAATTTTGTCCCTACCTCCATCCCTTTTAGAATAATGGGGCTAAAGGGGGAGGTGGAAGAACCTTCCTCTTCTTCCCAAGGTACATTCAGCACTTCAGYAGACACTTGCCTGAGTTAAATATGCCTGGTGAAGGCTCTACTCCACCTGACCTCCTTGGGATAAAATGCTGTACACCACACCCCTCCAAGAGGGTCAGCACCTTTTTACAACTCTGAACTACTGAAAGCCACATCATCTTTTGTGAATTCATTTAGGTGAAGGTTGTCCTCTGTGCAGCTTTTACCAAGGCAGTGCTTAAACTGTACCTGATACTGTCAAGTCCTGGAAAGGTTTTAAATGCATTTTAAACACTTAAGCCCCCACAGTTTGAGTCTTGTAGAATGAGATACACTGGCCTCATGAGGCAGGTTGCTGCTGCCCCTGTACTCCACTGCACAACACTTCCACAGAGTCCAGCTCGCCTGCATACAGGCTCTAGTACAATGCTGTGAAGCAAGAAATATTTTACATAACCCTCTTAAAATAATTAAAGAGTAGCTTAGGGGGAGAAAATTTGATTTATTCAATTTAGTTTCCAATTTTTACATACAAAGTTAGTAAATCACATTTGGAAATTGAGTTCACAATTATAGTTGGGATACAGCTTAACATTGGTGAAAAGATAGGTCAAAGTATTTTGAAGACTGCCAATTCCATCTCATTTGAAACAAAGTATTTGTAAACATTCAAGCAGCTGCCGCCACGTTCTGAATGTATAGGAAGAACACATCTTAAAACTTTTACAATTATAAAAATCACATTAACTATTTTGTTATCATCTACTATTTTTAATGTCAGATTCTGTTGATGACAGGCCCTTGTTTCTACCAGATTCCAGTGAATTGTGGCAGCACTGAAACCTACCCCTTGGCTGCTAGGAACTTGTTTCTCATTTCATCACTGCAGTTGCTGGTGACTAGTAAAGCCCRGGACAGAAGAGCGCTGAAGCAGGGACAGGTTTCAGACGTCAAAGCACTGTCCAAACAGCTCAGTTCCGATCAGCTTCCTAATCACAGCACTTGGCTTTTCTTGGGAGACATCCAATCATTTAACATGCATCTCTCCTATATATTCAGAACATGAGCATAGAGTGGAGGTTTTTTTAAAGTTTTTTTTTTTTTTTTAATACAAAATTCTCAATATGCCTCTTTTGCACTGAGTTTAAGAAAGGCGCCTACGAAGAAAAACGTGCATGGTCACTGTACGTTAAGTGCAAGGGCACAGCCACAAGTGTGCTTTTAGGTTTTTTTTTTCTTTTTTAAACAAAATACTTCTTTTTTAAATCAGGCCATGTACTCAGCATGGTCATCTTACATTCAGCAGTTTTGTACTAAAAATACTTTTGTGCAGGAAAGCCCAGCATAAATTTACATATGCTACAAAGTTTTACAGTTATTTACATGGCTCTTTCTTCCCTATCTATGAAAACATTTTATACCTGCCACAAGCTACAAGTAATTTAAAACAATATTACAGGGTACAGGGTAACCAATTTAAAACTAGCCTAAGTAACTCTACTCCATTTTCTCCACAATTACAAAATTGATATAAAAATGCATTTTAAAATCATCAGTGCAATTAAAATACAAGGACTTTAAGTTTTTGGCAGTCATCTGGCAATGTAAAATATGTCATTAGTTGGCACAGTTTGACTGAGATTCCAATTAATTTTCTAGAGCTGGAGAAAGACCAAAATACTCATTTGCCTGATGTGTTCTTCTATCTGTTCAAGAACAAGCAACAAAATCAATTTAGCTGCAGACTTGAGTGCTTGTCCAGTGTAAAGAGTGCCAAATAAAAGCTCACAGGTATRAGAGAGAGAGGGGAGAAAATAAAAGGTAAAAAAAGAGAGAGGAAAAAAAAAAATCTTCAAATGCCACCTAGGCAGGTCTCTGCTAGGAAAGTCTGCTCTGCAGAGCTTTCACATAACTAGCAAATTTGACAAGTTTGAAAGACAAAGTAACTGCCTAAAGCTCTGTGTATTTTTCCCCAGTTAATGCTGCATTCAGCTAAGCAGAAATTGGTTTTCTAATACCATTCCTAATACCATACYAGGAAATAGTCACAATCTCAATTTTGAACCAATCCAAATCTATTCCAGTAAATGAAGAATTGGCAACTTGCTCAGAACTGAAATTCACTACAAAATATTTTTTTCACAGTGACATGCATACAGCACAGGTTGAGGTGAAGCACTGGAGGGGTATGTAAACTATCCCCGTTCCCCTTCCAGCTGCCCAACTATGTGCAGAACTAGTTCCATATACCTGTACACCTGGAGTTATGAATGCCTATTCTCAAATTTGAAACCCTGTAAATTTAAATAACTAAAAATATGGAAAATTACATCTCAAGCCTGGACTTTAAGTAAAGTTTTAAGCTGAAATGTCATTATTTCTTTATCAGAAGGTTTAAAAGAAACGGGTACCCAATGGCTTGGTGGCTTAGGAAGAACACTTGGTGAGGGTGGCTCACTAAATTTTGCGCCAGCATAGTTCTGATTGGCTTGAGGTGTGAAAAACAAGTTGGAACTTGATAAATTGGGACTCCAATTTTGATTATTGGGGAAATGAACATTGTTCTTTCCCCCTTTCTGCATGGCCTGCCACGCAGCAGGTGATGAGTTGCATCCGTGTCCTCTTTCTTTCTTCATATAGGTCATCTTCATCTGAGAGTTCTGATCTTTATTCTTCTGCCTGTTTTTAAGTTGTTGATGGTTCTTGGTGGTATTTCTAGCTTGTGGAACTGGAATGTTGAACCTTTCTCCACCACCCATCTTCAACTCAAGTGTCACCTATAAAACAGAATGACAATGTGAAGCTTGGCACTTGTGACTTTTTCAAACATGTTTTTGTTTTTTTTAACATTCTAGGGAGTTGAAAACACTATCCCAAAATAAGACACATTTTTTTTTCTTCCACTGACAAAAGAGTCTTCAGTAATACAGACTCAAGAACTCAGCTGACAAAAATCACAAGACCTGAATTATAGTAAACTTTAAAATGTCGTGTCTGTTCAGTGTAACCCAGAGGACAGGCATCCTACCGAACCAGCATCACAAAGCACAGGCAGCCAGTATCAAAGCAACACTAACCCCACACTTAGGGTAGAGGTGAGAAAACAAGGAGGCTAAGTTAAAAACACACTCTGGTGCAAGAATCTCTAATGTGTTTTAGGTGAGAAGAGCCAAGGACTTGCCAATGAGGGCACATCCTCTAGACAGGGGAGGACATGGACTGTATGATGGCTCAGCAGTGGCTCATGAGGACACTCTAGGCCAACCTGGCTTCAGTGACAGTACCCCATGGCCCTCTGCCACAGCTGCAGCCTTCTCTGCCTGATTGTCTGGCCCTGGAAATAGCTGCTACCACCACTTCCTTTCCCAGCAACTACCACTAAAAGCATATTAAAGACATTGCTCAAACGCAGTGCCAGATTTAAGTTGTTAGTATCTAATCCTGAAGACRTTTATATTTACATTCAGCCTATGATATGACCAGAGATCTGGACAACGTCTACAACTGACAAAGCCTCTCCCGCTGCCTCACTGAAACGCTCAGCAGAACGGCAGACGCCGACACAGAGCTTCCTGGGTAAGGAATATTCTAACACAGAATATTCCTGATATTCCTAACATGGAGCTGTGTAGCTGACCACAGCAAGGGAGGGGCAAGATCCACTTCCCAAACAGCTTTTCCCAGAGGGAAAAGGGGCACATGCATTAGTGGCACACAGAGCAAGACTTAGGCACCCTTCAGGAACAAAGCTCTCCTCAAAGTGTGAGAGCAACTGGAAGTATCCTCAAATAAAAGCAAGCATTTACAACCTGACTTCTAAACTACAGAGCCAGATATTAAACACCCTGTTTGGTCCTTTCAYGTCAGTTTTCCCACAGTACATTATTCCCATTTACCTTTCACTTGTCTTCTCGGATTCCACACTCTCCAAATCCTGTCCCCTTTCTTGCTTCCAAGCCTGGAAAAGTAGATGCTGCCTTTCGCTGGACTCCTTCCTTTGGCTAATGATAGAAGTTTTCATGGGCTGATCTGCTGCGTTCAGCCAGGTAGCCGAGCCCAACATCGGATTCTCGGCACAGAGGTTCCAAGGGAGAAGTCTCAACTGGATAAATTAGAGAAGTCCGAATTCAAATAATGAAACACACAATTGCTTCTCCTTTTATTTAAAGTGAGAAGAGTCACATGATCTCTAAGCCCAACTCAGACGCATTCCTCTATTAAAAAAGACAATATACTTAAAACATTTTTTTACAGGAGAGTATTTTTATCCCCGTGAGCCTCACCATTATGCTTAGTATTTCCACGAATGTGTTTTCATCTTGGTATACATCTTATACTAATAAATATTTTGGTTAAACAGAAGTGAGCGCAACCTTAACCTCTCTTTCAAAGGGAAGTCAAAAGAACGACCAAAAAAAAAAAAAAAAAAGAAAAGAAAAAGGAAAGAAAAAGACACACTTGGAGATGAACTACGCGGTAGCTGGTGTCTCAGTGTATCACCCTGAGCAGAGCCCCCCCATTGAAGCTGTCTCGGGAACTCACCCCCGACTCAGTGCGACCAGCCCCCCGTACTGCCAAACTTTGCTGGCCCTAAGCGCCCGACACTTCAGTTGCCCTCAAAGCCTTTTTCAACCACTCCCATTTCAAAACGAATCAATCCCTGACCAACTCTTAACTAAACAGGAAACTGTTTTATCTCGTATGCGCCCCCTCCCCCCCCGTCTTTTCCAAGGCGTTCCAGCCTGGTGACCTCCCCAGCAAACTGCGTCACTCCATGTCACCCGCACCTCCAAATGTCCCCTCTCCCCAAAGCGCCAAGCTTGCGCCTCTCCCTTCTCGCCTCCCGGACCGGGGGGCCGGGCAATCCCCGGCGCCGCTTCCCCAACAATGGAGGAGCTCGGCGAGCACAACATGGCGGCGGCGCCCTGCCCTTCCCACAGCGCTCTTCCCTTACCGACTTCTGTCCGTCTCGTCGGCTCCCAAGCACAGCTGCACACGGGCCTTTAGGCRCCGAGCCCGATGCTCCTCCGCCGCCGCTCGCCGGCCCCCACCCCCCCACCCCGCAAAGCGCACTCCGCCTCTCTCCACCAACTCCTGCCGCTGCTCCTCTCTCTCCCACACAAAATGGCGGCCGCGGAGCTGCGCCGTATAACGCCATCACCCTCCTCCCCCCTCCCCGGGCCTTCCCGCTCCAGCCAATAGGAGGGCGCTGCGTACTTCCTGCGGCCAATGAGGAGCAAGCCCCGCCTGTTGCTGGGGGCCGAGGCTGCGGCCGTGCGCGGGCGGAGCCCGGTTTGAATCCCCTCAGCGAAGGGCAGGCCGGGAGGGGCGGCGCGGCCGCCGCTTTCCCCTTTTGTTCGTCTTGTTTATCCCCTTCACAAAGTTAAGGGCTTAAAATAACCTGTGTGGGTTTTACGACCCGTTTCAAGTCATTGCTGGTAGCTTCGGTTCGCGGAAAACGTCCTCGTAAGATTTGGCAAGCCCATAACCTCCCCCTGCCACCTTCATTTGTCCCTTTACAAGATTTCAGGGGGAATTTTTATGCCAAAACGAAGTTTGAAAGGAAAGTATTCACGAATTAAAATGTTGGTGTGCTGTGGGAATGCATTACCAAAAAAAAAAAACCCTAAAAAGAAACTGTGGGAGGCTTGTATTTACCTTCACAGGGTTGTTCCTCTCACCTCAGAGCATCATTCATATAATTCATACAGAAACAACAAAATTTTGTGCCTTTACCATGTATCCAGCAAAATGACAAGACTATGAGAAACCCCAGCACTCCTTTAGCAAGCCTCTCCATACCATCACCTGCACACATTGGAAGCACCTAAAATAAATTACAAAAATAATATCAGTGTCAAAAGGAACACGGCTTTCAGCTTCATCGATTTCAGATGGAGAAAAAACAGCACACATACGAAAGAGACTGGGCTTCAGGAGCCGGAGCACGGCCTGGGAGGAGCCTCCTTCGTGCTCTGCTTCCCTCAGCACAAAAATGGAAGATACACAACTTCCTCCTCCAGCTCTGGGACACTTGAAAACACGGCTGGTTTCTTGCTGCTGAGCGCCGGGTGGGACAAGGGACACTGACTGACCTCGGTCCTTCAGCAGAAGCAGAACAGGGATGCCCTCCCCAGGGAAGCACCTGGTCTAGGCAGTATTTCATAATCCTCTGCATTATTAAAGAAAAGCCATATTCTATTTTAATATACACGACGTGGCGACACAACCAAGCTGAGGCCTTTGTTYATGCTCCTTATTGAGTGTTGGCATAAACCAAATAGAGATTAAATTGGTTTTCCTCCCTTTGCTGTGTGTTTCTTGGTTTTTGAAGTTATGTCTGAGATTCTTTGAGTAACTTTCTTAAAAGGAGAAGGCCTGAACAGCAGTGTCTGCTGTAACCAAACAAGCCTTGAGAGACCACTAATGATCTCCAACAACTCTCCTGTAACACCTATCAGCYGGTTTTTGCTTTGGTTAAACCTTGAGTGTTTTTATCTGCTGAAATATCTCCTCATCTCATAATGTGTGTTTGAATTGGGGCACATCGCTGAAGCTTGGAAATAACATTTTACAGACTGCAAACGTGCACTCGTGCAGGGAACAGAACAGTCAGGTACTTTTCATTTCAGTTCAAGGATAACACAAGGTCTGGCTGTTTTTCCACATTATCTCTTAGATACTTCRGAAAACATCTTGTCCTTTTCAGGGCTGGTTTTGGGGTCAGGTTGACACAGTTGGCCAGAGGCAGAAGGCAGCAGGAAGCCTCAGTGATAAACCAATCCCACACGTTTCACTGGAACATACTGGGAAGCCAGCTGAGTACTGCAAAAGTTGTGTAATCCACTCAGTTTAAGCGGGAACCCGAGGGGTACTTTTAAATCAAACCAAASGACAGGCAGTCTAGAACATCTAAAAAAGTGTCTAACTTCAAGCGCATGCACTAATAATAATAATAAAAGTTATCATAATTTCACACTGCAGTCTCTGAACACTTGGGTAACTTTCCTGTGGTAGGACAAGAGAAGATAAAGTCCCCAGGGCTGCTGTAACCCAAACAGGTACAGAAACACCTCGTGTGACTGAACATCCCAAACAGCRCCTGCCAAATCCAGGTCGCAGGTACCTGCGGTTTCTTATTACGGACATCTGGGACCTCTTCTCAAGAGGATACTCCATTCCCTCAAAGATTGATTTTGAATCCATCCTGTGTTTTAATGGCCTCAACACAAGACTTCCTGCTCCTGAGGACGTGGCAGGACAGTCACCTCAATTACTCATGGGCTGCAGGTGGTGACACACAGGCCACCCCCGGCATYGGCAGCTCCCCCTTTTGTGCACTGTAACTCACCAGCCAGGCCAGCACAACTGCAGCCCCGGCTTCCTATCACCATGTGCCTCCCACTGCAACAAACTCCTTGACCTCATCTCTACCCTGCCTTCACTAGGTGCTCTTAAAACTTATTTTGCAAGCRCTTCTCATTGCGCAAGCACCTGCTCTGTCATCCTTGCTCTGCTTCCTCCAGGTAATCAGAGGCTGACTGCAAGAACAACCAAGTTTCCCGCTGTTCCTAAGCAGCCACATTCTTAGGCTGGGTCTACCTTGCTCAGATCCTCCTCCGGCAGCCCTCCAACGGGCCTCTGCTGCCGCAGAAACAGCAAAGCAACAAGGTCTTCCTCTCCAACAACCCCGTTTTGTCTCAGAGCAGGTCTAACCAGCAGCTCTTAATACTGTCTGCCCAGGGAAGCCAGCTCTGCCCGTGCTGATGGGGCAGCAGCCTGCAAGGGGCCCAGCAGTTCTAACAAAGACCAAGTCCCCAGAGCTCATTAGCCCCAAACAGCYTTCAGCAGTGAACAGCAGCCCTGCCCACGCACCCGTTTGTGCCAGGACAGAATCTCCCGGGAAAAGCCCCTGATTGCTGCAGGAAGCAACCGGGACAGGTGATTCACTCCTTAAGTCAACACTGAACCATTGCCCCAGTTTTACTGCACAGAGGACAAGTTTCCCGTGACTCTCAGGTTTTAAAGGGGCATAAAGAATAAACACACTTGGCATTACTAAGATTCCCATGATGTGCTTCACGTTAGTTACACGGCACCATCTGAGCCAAATATTAACTAGCGTAACAATAATCTAACCAAGTTTCCCCTGCGAGGGAAAYGTGTTGATTTTGTGTGTTCTTAAAAGAAAAAAATGACACAAGTATATAGCAACAGAATAGACTTTATTCTATTCTAACACATCCAAATAATAGAATTCTATTATTATAACACATCAAGCACCCCAGCAATTCAAGGGAAATTTATATTAACTCGTTGCTTAAATGAGTCCTTMCAAGCTTGTTTTTAATGAAATCAGGGGCAGGATCCCTAGAGATAATGCAGTATCCAAGCCATGGATATGAATTGTCTCCAGAGCACGAGATTCCTCCTGCACGCTTCTAAAACCAGACGCACGCTCAGCAGTATCTCTGAGGACTTCTCTCCTTTGCTGAGGTGTGACTGCAGCATGTATATCTGTATATATATATATACATGCACATAACCCAGCAACGGTGAAGAAAATATGGAAATACAAAGCTCATTTAAGGTCAGTTAAGGAAGCCATGAGTCTGAGATCATGCACASAGCCCCATAGCAGCTTTCACAGAATATTCAAGGCTGAAAGGGACCTCTAGAGATCATGTAGCCCAACCTTCCTGCTCAAGCAGGCACACCTAGAGCATGTGGCACAGGGTGGCATCCAGGTGGGTTTTGATAGACCTCCAGAGAAGGAGACTTATGGAGCTTTGCCATAATTGGAATGTGAACGTGGTAAATAAAGGCACATCCAGGCAYGGCTTCGGCATCACACCCTTCAGCTCTCCAGTCTCAACAGCTCCCCATTCAAATCCCCAGCTGCTCTGACTCACCTGCACCCATAAAAGCCTTCAGCCCGTGTAAGTCAATAGGCTCAATTCACACCTTATCAGCAGAGAACATGTTCCCACCCTGCACACACCTCAGTGCARGAGAGCAAGCAAAGGGCTCCTCCAGCCAGCCCCAGCACACACAAGGAGGCAAAGCAGCTGCTCCTGAGCCAGACCAAGACCAGGAGCTGCCGCACCTACCCCGTGCCCTGGTCTTCCTCAGGCATGGAGCAGAGCTAGGAACCCACCTGGATGTGGCTAATATATATAGTTATTAGCAGGTGCTATGACATAGCATCTATTTAACAGTTGAGACATGCCTGAGTCTACTTCTAGTTTAAAAAGCATAAAATCAGGTGCAATGAATTCAGGCCACTCCACCCAAGCAGGAGAGCAGCCCTTTAAAGCCCCCCAGGCAAGTGCAGTCYCTGCAGAGCCTTTTTCCAGCAGGGCTGTTTCCTCGGTTTCTTGAGGCAATGGGTTGAGTTAATTTCTGCTAAGTAGCAACAGGCAAAAACAGAAAAGAGAAAGGGCCTGCCCTTAATGGAAAAGCAGTGCTGGTTATTGATCTCAGCTGTTGGTGTGGGGATTAGCCAGAGCGGGGCTATTCGCAGCCTTGATAGCCACAGCTGATGCCAAGGGCGCCTTGCATGCAGCCCAGCTGGGAACAAAAGCCCTAGATTATAAAAGTCAGACTAGACGATTTTACTTTTACCCTGGCAGGACAATTTTGCTACATAACAGGATCCAGAAGCCTAATTAAAAGCTGGAATGTGCTTCCAGATCCACTGCAGTAATGTTTCTTCCTTTATAGTGCTTGTTCTTTTGTCACAACAGCAGCTTTCTTTGCAGATACAGAAGACCTGGCTTCATAAATCACAAAAGCGGGCTGACTGCTGCGTTTCCAGYGCAGGACTAAGTGCCATGCGGACAGTCTATTCTCACTTTGAGCCATGTGGTTCTCTTTCATTGGCACTGTTGAAGATGTGGGGTCCCAAAGGGRCTGGAAGTTGTCCTATTGTATAGGAAGAAATGTTTGCTGGCTGGGGACAACGTGTAGCTCTTAAGCAATGTTCCCTGATGCTCAAATAAGTCTTAGTAGAGCTCTTTAACAGAGGCTAAAGGTAAT